TTTATTTTATCTGTGAAAAAGAAATAATATTGAACACAAATATCTTTCGAATTTGCGTGTTATATTTTTTGAGTTATATATTCATAAATTTATATTTGAAAATGAATAATTTACAACGTACCTCGCTCATGTAAGTTCGGTTTACGTAAGGGATAAAGAATACTGCCATGCTCTTGTGAGATACGAGCAATAAAGCGCTGTTTAAGAATCGGATACCGTGAAGCGACGCTATGTCGCCTTGCGGTCTTTCCAACGAGAATAATTTCAGGATGTTGCGCTTCAAAGAAAACGATAAAAGCAACTCGCTGGCCGGTATTTTGCAATGATCGTAGAATGCAGCTACGAGTGTCAGAACGAATACGGTGACGAAGAGAAGACTAAAAAGAACGTGAAAATTATTCAATTAATTCAAACTATTAATATTCAGTGTTTTAACTTAGCAATTTCAAATTTTGCGAAGATTTATAGTAAATGTTCCATTTTAAAAAGTTGAGAATTTTAAAGATTTATGAAAGTTTATTGTGAAAATCGATAATTTATGATGTATATCATTATAATTGGAAATTAATTTTTGGGCCATTTTACAACTTTAGATTTTAAAACTTTACCATTTTAGATTTTATGAAATTATTTTTGAAAAACTAATTATATTAATATTTTGAAGTATTTTATTATATATAATATATTAAAAAATAACTGTTATGTTAATACATTCTCAAAATGGTATTAATATAATATAGTACAATACAACATTAAGACATGATTCAAGCATATTTTTACCTGGTGGCGACAGTCGCTTTTGATAGAACGAGTTCCGGCCTCACTTGGCACAAGTTCTGGTCCACTTGCAACGAAATTTTAAGTCCTGTCTGTGCTGTGTACTTTGAAATTGTATGTTGAAGAGATGCTTTCACATCCTGGGCTGTGCATGATGCGGGTGTGCATATGGCCCAATTTATGTTACTAAAACGCGGTACTCTGTGACCGGGCTAAAAATCCAAAAATAAACTGTCTTATAATCTGTAATATTACATTACATAGAATTATAAAGAAATTTAACTGTTAGCGAATCTAATATAAAAGTTGAAATCGTAAGATTATGCTGATAAAAAAATTAATCTGTACTACAGACGTGTGAATTTTAATTTCATATATTACTGAAAAGATTAATTAGAATGTCATAAATCTCGCGAACAAGACGGCGAGCCGACAAATTACGTTCTTGAGAATTACCATAATATTCTCTCTCTCTCTCTCTCTCTCTCTCTCTCTCTCTCTCTCTCTCTCTCTTCAGCATACAAAATTAATCTTATTATACAGTTTCTCGTCTATTTTTTATAATTTTTTATGGAGGAGCGTCTGTGAATGTCCGTAAAAAATTACTATTATGTATCGTTTCGTTAAATATTTATAACATACTGGAAAACAAAAAAAATGAAGAAACATTGGGGAAATTTGACATGTATTATGTCGATTATGCTTAACTGACACGATAATAGGATGTTTTTTTTTTTCTGAGATGAGATCTTTCAATAAGCGATCTTTTAATAAGCGACCGTCGGTGAGTATTTTAATATACTTGTCGAACAGATGTTTTTAAGAGAGTTGCGGAAATCTATTAAAAGCATATGATTGTGAGAGACACGGATAAAAGAGACGGAAAATGTTTTATAAATCATATTTCTCAGGGTAAGTTAACTTTTTTTTTTAACTAAGTTAAGTTAAAGTTAACAGCCTTGAAAATTTAACTTAATTAAAATACAAGTTAATCCATAATAAAATTAATTGAATTAAAAGTTAAGTTAATAAAAAAAGTAATTAAAAAGTTAAAAGTTAAATTTGGTTCGAACGAACAAAAAAAAATGAAAAAGTTTGACTATTTTATATAATTTTTCGTATTTTTCCTTTCTTACAGATTATTTATTAAAAAATCTGATTATTTTTGTTCACAAGTATCCCGATGATATAATATAAAATTACCAGGTTGGGTAAGTTAATATTTTTTTAAAACTAAATTAAGTTAAAGTTAATGGCTTACAAAATTAATAAAATTAAGTTAAAAGTTGAATAAAGAATTAATTTAGTAAAAATTAAGTTAAAACTAAATTAACTTAAATTTAAAAAAAGTTAATTAAAAAAAAATTATTTTTGAAATCAGAATGTCCTAATTTTTCTTATAATGAGATTACTTTAAAGTAATCACTTACAAACATAGATTATTAGGTAAATTTAATTTTATATTCACATGTAAGTTACTTATATATAATAAAAGTCACACTGTAAGGCGTTTTTGTAGAATCTTGCAGAGATTCTCTTGGAGAGAAGGGTATATGTTTGCATTATTTCTCTTTCTTTAACCTTTATCTAACTTTCTTTAACTTCTAAAACGACTGCTCATGCATGTTTACGACTACATTGACTAGATATTTGTTACAAAGATAAAAATTTAGGAAATAGATGGATGTGCAGTACTGTTCTACAACAGTTCTTCATCTAACGCTCATTTCATATTTATGTTGCTGAAATATAACATTTATGATATCTAAAATTAGTGTGATTCAAATATTGTATTAAACGGGAATTGACAAAAAAAACCTAGCGAATCAATAAAAACTGGCTACTGTATGTAACTCTTATTATAGAATCTCTCATTATAAAATCATTGAACTTTTTCTAAATTAATTCTCTAATGTTTAAGACTTTACAGAAAAAAAATATTAGTTAAATATTAAGAGAGGTAGAACAATTTTTAATTTAAAAAAAGTTAATAAATTAAAGTTTAAAAGTAACTAAATTAAGTTAAAAATTAATGCATTTAAAATTAACTAAGTTAAGTTAAAAGTTCTTAACTTTTTTAACTGTTTTTTTTTAACTGTTAACGTTTTAACTAGTTACTACACCCAACCCAGAAAATTACTAAAAGCGCATTGTATCTAAGGATTTACTTAAAAAAAATCAAATTAAAAGTTAATAGTTACCAATAAAATGTAACTTAAGTTAAAAAATTAAAAGTCTAAAATGTAACTAAGTTAAGTTAAAATTAATTATCTTTTTAACTTTTTAATTTAACTTTTATTTTTTTAACTTGGCACTACCCAACCCTGATATTTTCACGTTCCCGGAAAGGTGGAACAAACAATTCAAAAAGTAATTGATGCATTTGCTCAGTCAAGCAACCATAATTAATGCTCTTGGATCTCGCTGTGAGCAGCGTCAACACAGTACCGAATGATAAACATTAGCATCAATTTAATATGCGATACGCAACATTACAGACGATTGTTCTAACCACACGCGTCGCATATTATTGTCTGCTATTATTATGTAATCAGATTGTCGATATCTAAGCAAAACAAATTTCCTGTATGGTTCATCATCAATCCACATTCTTATGCGATTTATTTCATGTTTATTTTAGAGCCTCAATTAAGATTTTTTTCCTCAACAGTCATCGATATGATGTTATAAAAGCGAAGAATTATGATTTTTTCCTTATTCTATACATCGAAAAAAACTTTTATTTATACGTTGAGATTCAATTATCTAGAAACACATATTGTGACAAATAATATTGTAAGGTGTCTATGACGTGTATCTTTAGAAGTTTCCGAGACAAATTTCTCATTTTTAAATTTAACTCGAATGTATCGTTGAGAATTCTCTAGAACTATCAACGATGTACTCGAGAAGATTTGAGCATTTCTTTTCGAGCAACTGTATTTTTTTTGCACAGTTCGTTTTACTGTATTAAAATTCTACCTATGTCACAATCGCGATAGCGGTTTTTTATCTACGTCCGGCCGTCGATGTCCCTCGACTTTGTAGATTTACATTATGAATCCTGTAGCACAGGATTCACGAGTCTATTACATATTCATCAGGGATTAAATGTGTGCGCCAACGATGAGCCTCTGAATGATTAAAATGCCGGGAACATTATATTTGTGGGGAAATACCAAAATAAAAATATTTTTTATTCGTTTTGATCTCTACACCCGATTTTTCAGATTAACTTTGTCGCGCGTAAATTTTATTAATTAATTTTATTCATTAATGCAATCTGAAAATAAATGGTATTTTCGCGAAGTATTCTCAGAATATTTAGAAACTCTCTCATGTACGAGCCACCCTTATCGTAATCTCGTGTCATTGGGAACCAGCGAATAAATGGCGAATAACTTAAGCACACGATTTTGATATTCTACGTGCCTATACTACCTGCCATTCCGCTCGCGAACGTGAGATATCACCATAAAATACGGTGATTGATTACGAAACGATCGATCACGTTGGTTCGCAAGGTGTATCACGAGAATACACGCATTATACACTTACGTCGGTCATGTTGCTGCGAAACGCATAATGCGAATGCAGTAGGCGATGTAGGTACTTGAGGTCCGGTCGAGACTGATCGACGTTCAGCTGCAAAAATGCTAGGCAATACTGTCCTCGAATGCCATCCTTGCCCTCGACACCGACGCACTCGTCGAAGTCGCCGAATTGATTAACGTTTCCGCTAAGCAGACCGGAAGGCACTTTCGCGGTCGCGTCATACACTAAAATGTTAAAAGCGTCAATATGACGAAAATAGAAAAGTGAGACTGTCCTCTGTGAGAACGATCTTTACAATGTACATTGCATTAACTCTTAAAATTGACGGTGAGTTTATTAGGCCTACTTAATTATGAATCTTTTTGTTAAAACAATTCAATGCGAGATTCAATGTTTCCAGATTGCAGATGCAGAAGAATTAAATTTTAGAAAAATAAAAAAATTAGGAATAGAGTCTAAATATAACGCACAATACATAGAAATTATATCTCTATCCATTATTCGTATTACGCTTAATGTCTATTCTTAATTTTTGTATTTTTTAAATATTTAATATTTATCTTTATTTATAATATTTTTTTTATTGTGCGGTTCGTTCAGCTCCGAAGGATCAAGTAAACTTAATGGGAAATTTTTAATACCGAATATTGGAAGTTGCGATGTGATAATAATAATGCTTGCGTGACACGTTCGTAATATATAAAAAATTGCCGTGCACAGAATTTGGACAAAGAAAAAAAAAAGAAAGGATTTTGCGACGACTGTAATATCTTGAAGCCGTTGTCAAATTTCTTGTGTTGCGTACAGAAGTATTTTTAATATGAAATATTAATGCTTGTCTACGAATAAAACGTGATGTATGTACAAATCATGTACAATCATTTAATCGAGTCGCTCATGAAAGATCATTAAATATAAATTCGTTCGTTTATTTTCGGTTAAGGATTAGATAAGTACACGTTTCGAGTTCCGTTCTCGCAATCGTTCCGAAGAAGAGCTTCTTGAAACGAGGTTTTCGTAATTATCGTCGCGGTATAATTTGATTTCAGATTACGTAGTGCTATTTTTAGTTCACTTTACATAAGTCACGCTTTCGAACGTATTATACTTATTCATATATATATATATACTCATAAATATATAGGCGTAATCAAGAAAGAGAGAGAGAGAGAGAGAGAGAGAGAGAGAGAGAGAGAGAGAGAAGATTTAGAGGTTTTCTTCTCTCCCGAATTTACGATTAAAAATTATGATTTACAAAACCTGATATTTTCTCATTTAAAATTAAAAACAAGAAAGAGACATTTTAAACTCTAAAATATGTAAAGAAATAATTTATTAACGTAAAAAATTGCTGTTTATGTGGTAATAAAATTGATAAATCTTCTCCCTCCGAAAAAAATCCTGAATATGCCTATGCTCTATCAGTAGTCAACTTACTTTTGAGTGCCCATAGTGTGAACTTGGCGAGCTCCTCATGGAAGATATCGGCGTGTCGTTTGCATTCCGCGCTGACACCACCTGCGCCGGGATCGTAAGGAGGAAGGATTTGCAATAATCTGCGTGCCTCGAAATCGATTTTCTCGGGGAAGTCCTCTGAAAAAGCAAATCCTTTTAATGCGAGGAATCTTTTTAATGCCTTTCAATATCTGGGAATCTCGGATATTCGCGTATTAAATAGTATTAAAGAAGTTTACCCTTGATTCGTATTAAGTCGTGCGAAAGCGAAAAAAACTTGCAAAAAAAAAATCAAAGGCGTTTCTCCCTCTTGGCCTCCCTCTTTCTCATGAATTAGTACATCGCCGGGGATTCACGTAAATCGCTGGCTACGTGCCTTGTGTTCAAACAGAGGAACTTTATCAACGTAAAAGCCACGCTTGCCTGACATTGACATGATAATGCGAGAGTGCTATTAAGATACCTCCCGGTGCGGCGTGCTCGTTTGCAAACGGTGACGCAATTTAGAATTAAACGGAAGCGAAATTTTCGAGAAAGGTCGATGTACGAGTTAGTCAGCATAATTCCAGTGTTATACAAAAAATACTGATGTATCTGAAATGTGACTCGATCTATCTCGCAATGTTCAAGAATGTAATCTGTGTATGACACAGATTAAACTGAATTTTCAATTCGACGTTTTTCGTTTTCCTTTCTATCTCTTTCTCTCCTACACGAAAAGAACACTAATGAACTAATGAAATAATTCAACAAAATTGAATGAGACAATATATAAGATCATTGATTTACATCGAATAATGTTATTCTGTATAAAATTATGGAGAAGATCAATGTACAAATTTCCCAGGGTATTTTTAGACTAATCTTAAACCGGCATTATCATGCATAATTAATCAATTCGAAAAAGAAGTTCTTAATTTATAGCATGTTAATGATAATAATTTTATAATTAATTATAATAATATACGAAAAGTAGGATTTTGCTGAAATATTTCAAAATTTAGATACCGATCTGAAAATAATTTTGTTGGATTATCAAAATAATTATGTAGGAAATTCAAGCACTGTGAGCGGAAGAAAATGAAAGCAAAAACACTTTTGACATTCTAGCAACCAGTTTTAGCGTTCTATTAGTTATTTTGATAGTTTAATAAATTTATTTGCAAATCTATGCCAGTTAAATTTTTAGACATTTTAACAAAAATGTTTTTTTCGCGTAATATTTCTAGATGTGTTGTAAAATATCGAAAGAGTTAATCAGAATCTGATAAACCGATGACATAATTTTTTTGTATCTGTTAGTAAGATTAAGTATATTGTAGAATATAAATCGAATTTCAAAAGCGTAGATGTTCGAGTAGAAAGTGGTGTTGCATGAGTATCGCGATTGCATCACAGGTGCGTCATAAACTTTCTGCATTGATTATATGTTTACACATTAATATGGCAATTAACGTAATACTTTAACGACACGATTTGTATTTTTAATTCTTCAATATATTAAATTTTGAATTTTATTATATTGTAGCTACCGATTATCACTTGTTCACGAGCTCGCACGGTTTCGAGCATCAACATTGCCTCAAGTATTGCATGGTCTTTCCATGGTAGCGGATAATCGACCCGGATTCTATTGTTCTATTGTGTGTGTATGTGTGTGAGGATACGATGACATTTTCTCGCGGTAACGTGTGGTAATCGAACTAAAAAATAGAGCCGGACATCCGAACGGAATCACTTAGCATTGTGGTTTACCTGCCCTGGCAATCTGCTATAAAATAAAACGCGCATGGATATACAGAGTACACCCAGTAAACTTTAACTAAAAATATAACATTAATATTATCATTTCCAGGATTGGAAAAGTTATTTTGCAAAAATTGGTTACAGCTTTTTTTTTTAAAGTAACTATATATAGTTGCAAATTACTGATTTTAACACGTACAGTTATAGTTACTTTTAGATTAATTTTGTGTATTGCTATTTTAAATACAAAAATTTTATACATTTTTTTCTGACATTTGATACAAAATAACTACAAAAGTAATTATTAAATTAATTACCATAAATATCTCAAACAGCACAAAGTCTAAAATTGTAACACAAGACGTCTTTAAGTCATCTTTTAAATGTAAAAAACGTCTTATGACTCGATTTTAGACACTTTTTGTTGTCTAGGATGTAACTAATTATAAGTTGAGCTACAGTTATAAATGGAAAGAAAGAAACAAAGTTAAATTACAGTTACTGACAAAAATAACTCTAATTCTAACTTCGTTACATGTAACTAGCTACTTTTCAACTCTGATAATTTCATTCAACTCAACAATATAACTGTTATGTACAACATATATTGTTGAGTATGACATTAATGTTATGCTGCGTTCAGTTGGTGTATAAGCAATAGGCAAAGAGAGAGTGATTCGTATCGTTAGTTTACTCAACAAGAGATCTCTGCGTTTGTATGTTGACCTTGTATTTAAATTTCTTCGTTTTACATCAAATTTTCTCGTGGGTTATATTTAAACAGGCCAACATGATAATGACACAATTTACTTATTATGTAAGGTCCTAAGTAGGTTACTAAGTAGGTTTCACTTTACTAAATCCAAACCCAATCCGGTTTGGTGGTCAGATAGATGATAGCCAGATATAGTTGATCTTGTTGCATGGCACCACACGCGAGACGAATGGTAATTAGAGAACGCTCTTAAGCAGAAATCTCGTGTTATGCTCGCAAGCACGAAATCGTATTACGAAACGCGATAATGATCGCGGTGTCAACCTACCATGTAAATATCTTTACATCCTTCATTTTGATTTACGACGTCTTGTTGTGCAGGCAATTAACGTATGGGCAAGGAGGGTCGCATACGTAGGTACCTGTGCATCTTCATTATAGCTACTTGTCAGATGCGCTCATTGCCAGCCTCTGACGTTGATTTTATTCATTTCGAAGAGATGACTAATAATTTATTTATACTTGGAAAAAAATTGTCTGTCCTGTTCGGTAGTTTACAATTTAATCTTTATTTAATTCAACCAAAATCGTTGGATATCTAATGATCATTATTTGCTGAATAAATAAATCACATCTTAAATCATTCCGTCCGCTAGAAGTGAGTAATACGTCAAAATTTGTTCTACTGTATTTGAAATGAATTCAGAACTACATAATATTTTACTAATTAGTTTATTTAGTTATTAATTAGTAGTTAATTAGGTATTAATTAGTATGTAAAATGATAACAATTTAAAAAGAATTATCATATTTATTACGATACAATCACATTACAAATTTATACGGATACAGCGTTTTAAAAAAAACAGTACGACTATAAACGTCATATCTGTTACCGCGGAATGTCCATAAAACTAACGTTACGTTGCGAAACGTTATGTAGACATAAAGCATATCCCTGTCTTGTCCCTCCTCTCAATTGTATTGCAAATGTGTACGTTTTATATAGATGCGTCCTTGTTTATTGATTACACGCAATTCACACGTTGGACATTTACAATAAGCGAACATTCCACCGAATTTGCTTCATAGCAAGGACCGAAAGTGGTAAAGAAGCAAAGCGTTTCTTTATATGCATCTTATCTTGGATCTTGCGGAATTTTATATATACCAAGATGACGCATCTGTGATGATGTATCTGAATAATATATTCACATCTATCTTACGATATTTCATTGTAAAAATCTATACTGAAAAAAATTTTTTAGTTATACCAACAAAAAGTACAAACAAAACAAATTCTGATTACATGAACTAGAATTTTGATTATCGAATTTTTTATTATCTCTATAATGTTTTATAAATCCACTATAAATATCTAATTCGTGGACATCTTTCTAGTTGACTATCAGAATTACAATTAATACACAACAAGACTTATTTTCCAGTGTATATTAATTCTTCTCCAAAAGTTGCATCTTTCGATAACATTTCTATCTAAAAGGAATCTTCAAAAAAAGTGTTTTATTCATGCGCTGTAGTGTCTCACTCACAAAGAACAAACTTTATCAATAAAATACTTGATTCAAGACGCTATCTTTCGATATTATATCAGCTTGTCAGTTTGTATACATTGTATAAGATTCAGTGGAATGTTCACTATATATTACGTTCAGATAATTGATTACGTATCGGTTTATCTTTTAAATTCTCGTCCACAAAAATTAAAACGGTTAAGGAATGCGAATAATTTCAATCCTTGATACTTTTGTTAGATGTTTTATTGGCGTTAAAAATTTGATTCTATTAGTTGTTGTTACTCATAATTTTATATCCGAAAGTTCTTATTTCTAAGAAACACACGCATAGATATCGACGAATTTCACCTATCATTTACTTTCGACAGAGACAACGATTGCATCGCAAAGGTAACGATTAGCGTATCACTTAACTATGGATTGGTACAATCCCTATAATGATACTTATTAAGGATTTCTAATTATAGCTATGTGAAAACAAGTTACATTAAACCTTCTAAAATATTAACGACGCAATTATATTAACGTAGAACACAGTAATATACTTATGCATATAAATTTTTTATTAATCATATAAAAAAACCTTGATTTAGCAGGCTGACCCTTCTCTCATGAATTTACGCCTATTTTCAAGTCTATTACATTTTTTAGTATGAAGGTCAAGTTTCTTAATAGGAAATACTAAAGTGCTCTACGTTTAGATGTGAATCAAGAATCCTTTCGAAAATTCCAATACAAGTATAAATACCTTCTTGAACTTTTCGCGATTGTTGATGTACAAATTATGTATTCATAATGCGATAATAAATACAATTCGCAACCAATTGGAACGTATTTATCAAACGAAGTTGAAGTAAACATAAACGTTTCTGCGTAGTAATTTGAACTTGACTTCCGCACTGAAGAGAACTCATTCAGTTGAAACATTTGTTTATTTTATTTCGCAAGTATATACCAATTAATTGCGAATTATATTTTATCACGTTATGAGTACGTAATTTAAACATCAGCAACCGCGAAAGCTCACATAGGTGTTTTACTGATATTAGATTTATTTTTGAAGCAAATATTACTATTATTATTTTTATTTTGATTAATTATCGAAATTGTTATATTATACATGTATTAATCATTAATAA